TAGAAATCAGTTTTCTGGTTACAGTTTGTATATAATTTTTTAGAGAGTCATTCTTCCAACTTTATTGTATTAATTGTACTGTAAACTTAAAAGTTTTGCCTCTTTTTGGCTTCAGAGAGAAAAAAAAATTTGTAAAGTAAAATATGGCTGATAAACATGATTGTTATCAGGTTCCGTTTTGAATTCTGAATAAATTGTACCACTAACATCATTGTGCATTAATAACCTTGTTGAGAATTACTAAAGAGATGCTTATCCTGTCTGGGAGAGGGAAATAGGACAAAATGCTTTGAGAAGCGGCAATATATATAGTTCAGTCCAGGAAGTGAAAATTGACGAACAGCGATTAACAGAGCGGCGGTAAACGAGGGAAAATGCACCCCTTGTACCAGTTCGCCATTGCAGAAAATACAGGAAAATGCATGCTTGCGACTGGTAAACTTTAGTGAACATAACGTTTGAATGCGCAAAACAGCTTTGAATGGCAAAATACATGTTGTTTTTAACCGAACAGCAATAAATGGTAAAACGCCATAAAATGCATTTCAACGAATTTTCTCGAATTCACCATCGCGAAAAAGCCCTTGAAAATGCATGCTTTCGATTGGAAAGCTCTTGAGAACATTTCGTGCACTGGGCGAAAAAGGGTGGCGAACAGAAGAAAACATGATATTTTCTATGGGTTATACGAACGGCAAACACAGGAAAACATTGGGTTTTCCCGTATTTACACACAATAGCCTTCCCAGAAAATGTGTGTTTTCAGCCGTTAACTCCCGTGAATACGTTAATGTTCACTCGGAAAATGCCATTGAACTTAAGGAAAACAAGCTGTTTGCCATGCGTCAACCAAACAGTTACTGCCGGAAAATGCATTGTTTACCTGCATTTACCGCGAAGGAAAACTACCAAATAGTGGAACGAATACTGGGATCCACCGATACGAAAATGCACAGAAAACGTCGGATTTTCCGTATGTAAAACACGAGTAAACGTTAGTAAAATGCCGCGTTTTCTGTGAATTCTACCTACGTTTTCCGTAAATCCAACCTTCCTTTTCCGTGTGGTGAACACTTTTTCGCCGTGCTTTTCAGAAATAAGTTAGGAAAAATAAATATTTCCTTTCATAGAATAGGTAGGCCTTAATTTAACGTTAAATGAGCTTTATACATTATAGGATATTTCACTGGCTTTGCAAGATATCATGTCGCTGATATATACTACGTAGTTATACTGTTCTGTTTAAATTGTGTGGCTCTTGACAAGAAAAATCGATGACCAGTGCCCTCTTTTTGGATATTTGTAAGATATATCACAAGATATCACTCATCTATGGAGCTTTTAATTGAAGTCTAAAGGCTGCGGCTTTCTTCTTGCTTCTCTCCAGTATCTCTCCTCTTCCAGTGGGTAGGTAGCTGAGAGAGCGAGGTTGGCTGGCACAAGGTTACATGTTTTCTAACTAAGATTATTCATTAACAATTTATTTCTTATTTAGAAATCCATACCAAACCTAACAGAAGCCAAAGCTGATTTATTATCGCTGCGAACAACTGCAGTAAGCAGCAATGACTCAAATCTCAAAGCGTTTTTCTTTTTATTTCTAATCTTTTTACCAAAAGGACCGATTTCATCATCGTCTGTTGCCCTCTACTCCGTCAAATAAAATCATTAAAATCGAGCTTTTAGGGATAAATTATAAATGTCAGCAGAAAATCGAGCGGTCAATCGATTGACACCTTGGCGACAGTTTAAAGTACATCCCTTTGTAGGTTTATATAACAATTCCAATATATGTAACTAAGTAAGCGAGTCTAATAAGACTGTATGTTGAAGTATATTCAACAGCAAGTGTTTTTTTTTTTGTGAGTTAACAATTTCAGAGCATGGTCGGTGGTGATTAAACTTTCACAAAGCCTCCGCGTGTCGAAGCGTGGATGATTTGGTAAATGTGAGAAGTAGGTAAAAAAACGTTTAGATTTCTTTCGAAATTTGAAACTTAAGCTACCTTAAGTTCCATTTGGTTTCACCCAACATGATAATTTTGACGTCACTCTCATTACCATTTACGGTTTTTAATGTTTGTTTGTAGCAAGTTCGTACCATGAAGATTCCAAAACGTTTCAGTTAGAAAATTCCCCACGTGTGAGTTATCTGAAGTTTGATCTATGAAAATGGAAAAGCACTAATTTTTAGATGGTTAATACAAAAATAAAATAATATTAATATCAAATTAATAAAAAATGATTCGTCAACGGCAGGTTGTCGACATATTGTTTTGAATCAATATCTATAATTTAAGAATCCTTGAACAATTTGTTTTTTTATATTGTATTTCTGTTTAGTCTCTTTATTTCTCTTTCTTTTCATAGGACGCTGATGACAATGTTATCATGAAACGTCGACTGTGTGACGTGGCAAGACGCGCGGGATGCTGAAATGTTATTCTAAATGTTGATGGAAAGAAACAACAATTTTAATAATTAACAACGTTGTATAATGTTACATAAATTTGTCTCTTCAACAAGGTAACGTCTCTCCTTTGAGGAGTATAAAAAGGTTAATGTGAGCAAAAAATAAATAAATAAAAACTCAATAGTACAGTCCCGTTCTTTCATTTCTCTATAACATAATGTGAAGATGACGTGAAAAATAAAAAAAATTGAACTAAAATGCCCTATGTACAGAAGTAGTGAGATAGTTTTGCATCAAAGAAACGAATGATAACTTCATGAATCATCTAAGTTTACTTGCCTGTTTGACCAAGCTTTCACGTAAGACCATAATTTCAATAATGCCTAACCATTACTTGCTGAAAAGATGGTTATTGTCTCCTGAATAGAGAATATGTTTTTGAATCGCTGAAGTAGGGTCCTATGTCATGATATCTTACTTTGATTTGAAAACAAGACAAGCATCATAAGAAAATGAATGAGATATGAGCTGGAGAAAAATTATCGTCATATAAATCAATGGGAAAACCTCAGGAAACCCCAAATAACAGAGTTCAGTTTCATTTAGAAACATCGCGATAAGCAAAGCTTCAACTAGCTCATAAAGCACCGTCTGCATAAAATGGATATTTTTTTAAAATCTTCATCCTTTCCTGTTCTTTTCTTTTCTTTTCTTTTCTTGATTCATCCTTTTCTGGATGAAAAGGTAAAACTTTACAACCAGAACCTTCTTTCTCTGGAACGAAATGTCTTGATGGACTTCTTTGATCTTGGAAGGTACATTACAACATCAGGAAACCTATTTTATTCCAAGGATAGGAGAAGGAGAAGGATGATTTATTTTTTTCAGGTATACAGGGAGTGGTCGCCCAGATCACCCGAGCCTGGAGCTCATGATAAAAGTGACTGGCCTATTTACAAATATGTATATAGAAAGATTACCTAACAAATCTAAAGTCTGAATAGTGGCTAATCTATAAGTTAATCGAAGTAAGCTATTTATATATATCTGGATGTATATAAAAAAAAAGCTTCGGAGCAAATTTAAAACTAAAAAATACACGAATAGTTGTGGTGAGTTGATGTTATAGACAGTTTTTTTCATTGGCAGCCGGTGAATGTAAGGTTCTGTAAGTGCCATCGGAAACAAGCTAAGTTCGGAGTGGTTTTAACAGTAGGTGGCAGTTGCTTCCAGATCCGAGAAATAACAAAAGAATATGAATTATGAAGAAATTTGCTGTTGTATGAATTTTGGACTTCGTTAAGTCCTCTATTTCTAAGATTGTAAGGGATGATTCGTGATTTAAATAGGTTGGCTAGTTAACTTGGGCCTTTTTCCTTGTAGCATTTATAAAAAAATTATTAGTGACTGTTCTAAACGTCTATGTCTCAGAGTGTTCAAATCTGCTGTTCTGAGGACTGATTCGTAGTTGGTGCTTTTTCCTAAGTTCATTAATGTTCGAAGACCGTAGTAGTTTGCATCTATTTATTTCTTATTCAAAGTTTTACCTGTATCGATAAGTAGGGGATTATAATACTTAAAGTGTGATAATACAAAACTCTTTTAGAGAACTAGCAGGGTACTGGGAGGCACCAGGCGCTTAAGGTGACGGAGTGCGGCTATCTTAGTAAATACTTTCTTTAGTATCCCCTTTACATGTTCCTCAAAAGTCATACTCAGAGGATCATTAGGTGCTCTTTGATGTCGATAGAAGAGCCGTTAAGTTTAAAGTCGTAATGGTAGGTACATTTCCCAAGTACTATCGCTTGTGTCTTGTCTCCGTCGCTCTGAAGAGAGTTATGGTTAAGCCAAGATGATATTCTTTCCATATCTTGATTTTAGCGAGAATTGTAGTATAATTGGGTTTTTGTCTGCCATATACTGGGTAGTATCATCTGCGTAGAGACGAAGAGAAGAGGCATTGACAGCTTCGTTCATATCGTTCATAAAAATGTTAAACAGAATGGGGCTAAGAAGACTCCCTTGGGGAATACCGCAAAGCATAGGTGCCCAGTCAGAGCAGCAATTCTTTCACGTTACCCTTCGTTTCCGTTCGTGTACAAACTGACCTTAGTAGTTTGAGAGTTGTGTCTTGTAGACCATATGCCTTTAACTTTGTAAGTAGTAGGTTGTGGTAGATACAGTCGAACGCTTTAGACAAGTCGATAGCGACCACGCCCACTTCCGTTTTTTCGTCGAGGGCTTTTCTCCAATCGTCTGTTAGTTTTATTAGTGCAGTAGTGGTGGAGCGTTCCAAAAGGAAACCGGATATTTCTGGGGAGGAGTTAGGTAAAAATGGGGAGTAAAATTGATCAAATAACACTTTCTTAAATATTTCGGAGACTGAGGGAAGAACGCTGACTGGTCAGTAATTTTTCTTGTCTGACGTGTCACTTCTTTTATAGATTGAGGAGACGTTACTTATTTTCCAGTCGCTAGGCAGTGTACTTGTGCTAAAACAATAATTAAACAGGGTCTTTAGTGGACTGGCTAAAGCAGGGGGTATAGTTTTAAGATATTTGGGGAGAGACCATCGTCGCCAGTTGATTTCCTGACTTCTGTTTTTGATAAATGGGCAGTTGTGACGTTCGAGTTTATTTCTGTAAACGAGAAATTTAGCCGGAATTGTTTTTCTTGATAGTCGCAATGCCTGGATGGTCTTCAAAATCTCCCTCGGAAAGGTGTAAAATAGATTCTTGGATTCTTGGTCTCGCAAAGAACTCATGGGCGCAAGGGTTAGGTGGTACTTCTCCTTTGTCAAGAAGAAAAATGTCGCTAAAACTGTCGCCGTTCAGGCTGTTATTTCGGAGAAGAAGTTTAATTTTTTTCCAAAATAGACCAGGAGATGATTTTGACGAGGCAGCGTCGGTACAGAAATCTTTGACCGCTCTTTTCTTTAAAGTTGTAACTCTGTTCCTTTGTTCTCTACAGTTGGACCAATTTAAGTCTGTTGCTGTGCGTTCAAACTTCTCGTAAACACGGTTACGTTTGCGGATTTTCATTTGAATATCGGGGCTGATCCACGGTAGCTGGTTATTATGGAGCTTTGTACGTTTCATAGGTGCATTTTTATCGAGTGTTTGTTTATACAGACCATACCAGTGTGACCAAATGTCGTCGAAGTTATCGTAGGCGTAAGAACTGTCCCATGGAACATTTCTACGATGTGTGCCGAGGAATGCACTTTGATCTTGGTTCTTCAGTAATCTAAACTCAATTGTTCTCGCTTTAGGTCTCGGTATCTTTTGTTCCCTGACAACAAAGATCAAGTCATGGTCCCTTATTCCAACTTGCAGAGTTCCGCTTTTGGCTTCCAATACACTACTGTACGTCGAGGCTTTCTGAATTGTGCGAGAGTAGGAGAGGCGGATGTGCACCACTGAGCTCCTTTTATCGTCCCTCTCCCAGGGATAGCTAACAAGGAATTTCTCCCAATTATAGCTTCAAATTTTCATGCGAAAAGGTGATAAGAAGACGAAAAAATATTAAATAACAGATTTTCTTTCATTTTCACTCAGGATTCTATAAGCTGAAATTATAAGAACTATTCGGAGGTCAGTGAGGAAAACCGGTAATTAAATCAAGGAAGGGAAAGAGTTACGTTACCATCACTGCAAAACATCAAAAACAATGCTTGAAAATAAAAATTACAATTTTCTTAAGTATGATTTAGTTTTATTTAGTCTTTTCCCCACTGGTTTATTTGCCAAGTGTTATCAGATAGTTTGTTATTGCAAAGTTAAATGAACCAATCACATTCAAAGTTGTAGTTTAAATCAAACAATCGCATCGAAAGTTGAGGCTGAAATCAAACAATCACAAGCTTGGTTTCTTTGAAATACAAATTTCTCTTTCTTTCTTAACCTGGCCATTCTTTTCTAGTAAATTGTGATTTTTATGATCAGTTGGTGATAAGACCTTGTGTCGTCCAATTCGGTCTTTGATCATACTGGTGGTGAACAAATTGGACTCCGCTGCGCGTTCGTCCGCTTTTGTTATCACTCTCGTGATTACAGACCGAATGGGACTCTTTTTAGAAATAAGCTGAGAAAAATAAATATTTCCTTTCATAGAATAGGTAGGCTTTAATTTAACGTTAAATGAGTTTTTATACATTATCTATATAGTATAGGTCATTGGCTTTGCAAGATATCACGTCGCCAATATATACTACGTATTTATCCTGTTGTGTTTACTTGGTGTGACTCTTGATAAGAAAATTCGATGACCAATGCCCTCTCTTTGGATATTTGTGAGATATATCACATGATATCACTCTTCCGTAGAGCTTTTAATTCAAGTCTAAAGGCTGTGGATTTCTTCTTGCTTCTCTCCAGTATCTCTCCTCTTCCAGTGGTTAGGTAGATGAGAGAGCGAGGTTGGCTGCTACTAGGTAGCAGGGTTTGTGACTAAGATTTTGGCTGGTACAAGGTTGCATGGTTTCTGACTAAGATTTTTTTTTCACTGACAATTTTTTCTTATCTAGAAATTCCTACCAAACCTAAAAGAAGCCAACGTTCATTTATTATGGCTGCAAACAACTGCGGTAAGGAGCAAGGATTCAAATCTCAAAGCGTTTTTCTTTTTAGTTCTCGTCTTTTTACCAAACGGATCGATTTCCTCATCGTCTGTTGCCCCCTTCTCCGTCTAGAAGCAAATTGTCCAGTAAATCATCTATATTATCTGTGTTCCTCTCTTCAGGTATTCGCTGCAGCTGCACTTGCCCCGGTCTTGGTGTGAGCCAGAAGCCTCGATAAAGAAGATTTTCAATCTTCTGCCTTCTGTCATTTATTCCCTGTATTTCGTTTCGCATTTTAAGGTCTTGGGAGATTTCTTCTGCTTGGTCAAGAACGTCCACAGCTGCCGATTAAGGAAAAACTAGATTAGAGTTAACACCTTTTTGGATGGGATGCAATGCCTTCAACCATGCCATTTGAAATACAGTCAGACGAAATACATGAATTCCGTGGGAAATTTCATAACATTATATCTAAATCTTCCATCTAAAGTGCGCCTCTTGCAGCTTCATAAGACGTAAATTTTTACCATTGTGTCTCATATGCATCAAATTTTTGGCACTATGTGTCATATTTATATCAAATAGTCTTCAACATTTCCTCGTGGTATACAGTGAGATATTCCACTTGTCCCTCGTAAGATATCTCACGGTGTACTATTTGAAAGGATATTACATGGCCGCCCGTAAGAACCTTGGGTTATTCATAAATATACTGTCCCTCACTCGTGAAATATTTCACCGACGCTCGAATATGCAATTCAAATCCAGGTGAGGCCATTTAATATTCCCTGTATAAAACACGATCTGATGTCATGTTAGGCAATGCCAGGCATAGGTCAGTGTAGGATGCGTGACATGTTATGTTTAGTTCATGAACCGCAATGATTGTCGGGAAAATCCAAGGAGAAACCATGTGCTCGGAGTTTTAGAATAAATACGAGACCTTGTGTTTAATCTGGTTTGATTTGAACGTGTAACATTGGCGACCTCGCCAGGACTGGACCGAAGAAGCTTGTCATCGACGAAGAACCGCCGAGGGTTGTGGAGGACAAAGTAATTGGCACGTTTGATTGACTTGTCAAGCGCGAGTTGGGTTGTGGTCGATTGCTGTCGACGGCGGACTGATCTTGACGTAAAGTGTCGCATTTCTTTGGTGGACGGCTGATTGCACTATTGGTGAGTACGAAAGATTATTTGTTTGAAGTATGATGGATACCGAGAGTCTGCAGATCGAAATTCAGGGCGCGTTGTGTTCCTTGAGCGAGGAAAGGCTTAAAGAAGTTTGTAGTGGGCTGAACATTACTGTGCCGCCTGAGAGCAAGGGAAGGTTGGTCTTTATCCGAGCGCTAAGTAAATACCTCTTAACCGCTGCGGAGCTTGTAAGATCAATAGATATTGTTCAAGGATGTCAAGTAAAATACAGAACTGTGCATAAACCAGTTTGCATGGCTATACAGGAACTTGAGAAACAGGAAGCAGCTGGAGATGGTGGCGATGATTGAACACGACGTTTCCCTGCCACCTGACGCCAAGGCAGCAGCTCGGACTGACAAAACTTGTGGGACGGAGGTGCGTGGTAAAATGCCTCATTCAGGGAAAGGAAGTGGAGGCGCTATGGGATACAGGTTCCCAGGTTTGTGTTGTGTCAAGGAAGTGGTAACAAACTCACCTACCGCTGGAGGTGTTAAGAAATGTTGAAGAGTTGTTGGGAGCAGGAAAAGAGTTAAATTTGG